GGGCGAGGTCAACGTTTGGATCGAGTCCTGCAATACTCTACTCCCGAGTCCTTCCGAGAGCTCCTCGCAACACTTATCACGGCTTCGATAAAACATAAACAGCACAACTGCTCTCCCTCTCCTCTCACCGACGAACCCAGTCGTCCTCGGCACCCATGGGGTCCGATCCAGCCCCTGTCCCGCGCATCGACCACAAAAAAGGCGTGATCGGCGCCGTGGGTCGTCTGCCCGCGGGGCACTGGCGCGGAGGGTCGAAAACAAACACCCCTGGGGCGGTGGCGGGCGCAGCGCGAGGGTCACCCGGGTCACAGGTGTGATTTATGAGTCGCTGATTGGTGGAGAGGGGTGGCAAAGGCAGAAGCCCTAGGCTCAGGGACCAGTGACACGCAAGCGACAGAGGCGCCTGACACAATGCAAATGGGGAGACTTGCTAGATACAGGCGGCAAATTTTGTTTTGACAACACCATTATTCAAAGCATTTTTACAAAATGCTTCTTATTTTAGCTGACGTTATCGAAATGGACGAATCAAAGATGAAGGAGCGAAGTCATTACATTGCTATGCCGAGAGCCATCATCATCATCATTATTATTATTATTTTGAAAATGAAAGCAAAACACTACCGGGCAAAGAAAAGAAAACAGACAATATTATTTCCTTAAAAAAAAAAACGGTTGTCAATACCTTAGTTCCTCCAAATAACATGCACACAAAGCACTTAAACGCTATTTTACCTAGCGACTTCACTGAGGTAGCAGCCGGCGTCTCCAGGATGGCCGGCGCGGGACGGATTACGTCATACCGCTAGGCGTTGGCTCCGCCGGGCGACATTTACGAGCTGAGCCAGCGTCCCGGGCCGTGAACAACGGCCTCGGCTGCACGTCACGGCACAACATCGGGCTGTCAATATTGTGTGAGAGTCGGCCAAATGAGCGCGGCCGGCCGGTGAAAAATCGCGCCGCCGTCTCTCACGCGATGGCGACATAGCGACACGAGGGGTCCGGTTGTCAGGGCTGGGGTGTTGAGCCCGTGACAGCAGCCCACTGCCGTACTCACTGCACCAGGCCAAAACTATCAGGAAGCGTGGCCGACCACGGCGGGGGTACACGGGAGAAGGGTAAAAATGGTCAGGGGCGAGGTCATCGGCGGGGGATGAAAAAAGGTAGCAGTAGGTAGTTGCTGGGACGGGTCCGGTCATTGAGTCATGCACTTTCAATTGGACGGTAGCACGCTGTAAAACATGTAACTACTTGCGATTACGACAATTATACCTTGCTAATGGCACCTTTTTTAAATGTGCATTGTGCACATTTTTGGCGCGTATTTCAAGGAAGATTTTGGGGTGCCCTTAGATTCTAGAGACCGTAGGAATCTATATACCTATCATCTGTGCCGGTCGACCGACAAACTCCATCCGTTTGGTTAGTATCAGCCAACGGCAGTCAGTCCTCTAAATGTCATCGGTGTCGGTTCGGACACCAAACCACATGTTTGCGCTCATCGGTCGGCCCGCCGGCCGCCAGTGGGCCCCCGCCGCTGATCTGAGAGGGGGGGGGGGGGTGATGGCGCCTGTCACACAATCATGGCGCCCGGAGTTGCGTCATGTTTGTCGTCGCTGCTACTGCAGGAGCCGTCGCCACGCCGGCTGGCGGAGGTCGGGGCGGCGGCGGCGGCGGCGGGGATGGCGGCGGTGGACTGGCCGTCTGCCTGCCGTTGTCTGCCGCCCACTGCTCACACCTGATGGCGGTACGGCACAGCGCTATCGGGTTGACTAAAGGCGTGCAGGCAGTGAGCGGGATTGTAATTTGCTCATTCAACCCTACCCAGCAATGAGGAACGGATGGTCCGCTCGTCCTACACCGGCTCACGAGCATGTGCGAAAAAAAAAAACACAAACAAAAGGCGGCCAGTGCAGCTGTAAATTCGGTAGATGGTATTAGACTTCGTGCGGCTTTCGGTAAAGTCACGATCATTTTCATTGAAATCGTTTTGGAACATCGACCCAATGTCGTTAATTCAGGACGGTTTGCTATTATCCGACAACAGTGGCCTGTCCCGCTGTAGGTCTTATGTGTCGTATCAGAACCCTGTCCGCACATACATAACACTCGATAACAAACTATAGTCCGTTTTTCTTATCTTTGACCCTCACTCCAAGATACACAGATAACTAAGCACGAGACTTCACAGAGAAGCATACTAACACAAAAATTAAAATCAAGCAAATACTTGATTTTCCTAAAATGTCTATTCCTTTGTCACGACATGGCTCGTGCTTTATTTTCGACACGTCATGGAGTGAGGTCCAAAGATAAGAAAAACGGACTATAACAAACACACAATGACTTAACTGGTTGTCGGCATGCTGCAAAAATGTGATTCAGAGAGAACTGTGATTTTCAAAGCATAATTAACATTTAGTGCTCAAAACAAATTTCATTTTTTAAACATTAATGTGTTCGATAAATATCCATCAAATTCTTACGAAAACAAAACAAAAAAGTATCTAGCCTTGCCACTTATTTCTTAAAATTTACAAGCACCATAATCCATGACAGAAAGAGTGATCACATTCCCTAAGCTTAAATTATATTGAACTACATTTATGTTTTTAATTTCATTTTGCCATGAACGCTCAACACATATTGAACGCGGATAAATAGCAAAAATATTTAGATTTTGAAATACTATTAGTACTCCTTCAATTACGGGCAAGCTGACCTTGAGCATCAGATTAGCGGCGATTTTCGATCAGCACCTGTCCCAACACCTGGCTTGTGTCGGCGGTTATCACAGCTTCTGTAAAATATAGCATCCAAATTCCATAAATTATTAGCAATCAGACGCCAGCAAATCCTGAAATTTACAGCAGCATTTCCCTAGCACTAGCTCAACAAAGGTTGCAGAGTGCATGCTCTCCCCTGAAGATAAATACATCTGCTGATTTTTCACTTAGGTAAGGACGAAAATTTCGCGTAAGCGGTCATGCGCAAACGGCAAAGTCTATCGCTGAGGTGACTGATGAGGTATAAATAGACAGTTCAATGTTACTGAGAGCGGTTCTCAAGAAAATGAGTAAGAAATACACCAGTCCTAAATAACGAATGCTGTCTTCATATGTAGTTCTATAAATGCTTTTCACGCTGAAAGACATCCGTCACTTCGAGCCTGAGAAATGGCGCCGCCGAGCGTTGTCCATGCAATGATGTGAGGTCTACCTACACGCTTACTTCGGGTGGTTTTGGCTGAGCACCAACGCCTCCCCCCCCCCCCCGCCTCCTCTAAGATCTCAAAGAGTAAGCAGGTAACAGGTAAGCGGAAAGCGTCGTTTATTAGATCGTGACAAGCACTACAAAAAACAATTGGATGATATGTCTTATTAAAGGAAATAGTTCACTTTTTAACATGGGTTTTGAACTGGAATAGCAGTTCCGTAGCTTGGGCTGAGACGAGCATAAATCAGGAGCTTTTACAGCCCAACGATCACCCTAGGCAAAGATATTCTATTTCTCGTCCCGAAAAAGGTGTCTTGCGTTGAGGATGTGTGCCTTGCATATATTTCCATCCAGTATGAAAAGAGCATGGGTCCAGAAAATTCTTCAGAAACTAGAGAAATTATCTACGAGAACTCTAGAGAAATTCTCGTACTGATCAATTAGGACATTCAGGGGAACATTATCAGATCGAGCAGATCGCCCAAATGCCGGTGGCTGCGATAATTTCTCTGTTTCTGAAGAATTTTCGGGACCCATGCTCTTTTCATACTGGATCGCGTGTGCCTTACAGAAACTGAAAAGTTCTTCCTATATCAAAATATAGAAAATAATATTTTGTTATAAAAAGGTTTTATTTTCTTTGCTGATTATTTTGAACATAAAAAATCATAAATCCGTTGCAAAAAAAAATAATTTCGTGAAAGTGAACTATTTCCTTTAATCAAAATTGAATCCCACAGGGTCCAGGAAGTGAAATCTTTAGAGAACCGATATGACTTCAGAAAATTTCAGATTGAAACAAACAAAAAGCGCCGTTGCTCCAAAAGGTGACTTGAAAGGCTCAATGAACAAACGATAGGTAGCATGTCAAAAGCACATCAAATCAAATGCATGTCAGAGAAAACAAATTTGTTCAAATCAAATACAAAACAGCATAAGACAAAGAAAAAAAATGCTCTAAGATCATCCTACCGATCCCCCAAATAAAGTAAATCCTTTCCAATAACCTCATTTCCTCCTCTTCGTCTTTGCCTTCTCCATCATTTTTCGCTCCCTCATCTCTGACTCGACCGGGCGCCCCTCGCGGCTCGGCCCGGCTAAACAGGAAATGGTTTCGTTTCCAGCAGACAATCGGCACAATTGTCTCAATGAATGTGATTGGAACAATGAGACGGCCGTTCTGTGTCGCGCTCCGTTTGGTGCTGGCACAGAGTGCGGCTGGCGGCGGCTGTGTTCCGTGACCCGACCGGAGTCGCGCGCGGTCACCGGTAGATGAAAGGGCGGCGGCGGCGGCCCCGAGCCATGTCATAAACCTGAGCACGACACCGCGGCCAGCGCGACCCTGTTGAGGCTCTATTCCAATTTATGGGTCATCAAAGTCCACTTTGCCGAGCGTTGCTGGCCAGCAAATGAGTTTAATTATTGCCCGATAAATTCGCGCCGAATATCTGTTGGCCATTGCTCGGTGCTGAGCGGACATAAGTGTTGCGTGATTTAGCGAGTCGTAACTCAATGCACAGCACCCCGCAGGACGGCGCGCGAGAAAGACATCAGGGATGAACCGAAAACCGACGCGGCTATATTTCTGAGATGTGTTGCGAAAGGTGTCGCCTCCGGCGGGCCGGCGGTTCGGCGGCTCTCTGTGGTGGCCGCCGGCCGCCGGCGGCTCCGCCTCCCGGTCGGGGGCGGGGCCTGCGCGCCGCTGCCGCCGCTGACTGGCGGACGGGCGGTGGGCGGGGCTCGCCGGTCGGCCGGCCGCCGCCTCCGACCGGTCTCTCACTAGCGCCCCGTGCCGTACCGCGTGAAGACGTGCCGTGTCTGTCCGCTGTGAGCCGCCGCCGCCCGTGACCGTGTCAGTCCACCGCCCGGCGCCGCTGCTCTCCACGGCCGACCAAGCCGCGCGCCGACAGGAGTGGACCGTCTGCCGCTGATGACACCATGGTTTGCTCAGCTGTAGACATGAGCTCGTCGCCACTGAAATCGTCATTCAGCATCGACGCGCTCCTGCACAACCCGTTCAAGTCGGCCGCCGCGCTGCCGCCAGCCGAGGCCGCCGAGGCCGACGTCGCCTCCGACGACGGCATCGTCGAGAGCGACGTGGACGTCATCGGCACCGACGAGGACCTCGACAACTCGCGCGAGGGCGACGAGAAACTCTCGGACGCCGAGCCCGCCGAGGAGGCTAAGTCAGAGACGAAGGGGGACGACAAGAGCGACGAGAAGGCCGAAAAGAAGAAGTTTGAGAAGCCTCCCTACAGCTACAACGCCCTCATCATGATGGCGATCCGGAGTCACCCTCAGAAGCGGCTCACTCTCAGTGGCATCTACGAGTACATCCTGAAAAACTTTCCCTACTACCGCGAGAACCGGCAGGGGTGGCAGAACTCGATTCGGCACAATCTCAGTCTCAACAAGTGTTTCGTCAAGATCCCCCGCCACTACGACGACCCCGGCAAGGGCAACTACTGGATGCTGGACCCGTCCTCTGACGACGTGGTGATCGGCCCGACCACCGGTAAGCTGCGGCGGCGCTCGTCCACCGCCGCCCGTAACCGGCTGGTGGCGTTCCGGCACGGTCTCACGGCGCTGCCGTTCCCGGCGCTGTACCCGGCGGCGTACGCGGCCGGGGCGGGCCGGCTGCCGGGCCCGCTGTACCCGCCGGCGGCGGCGCTCTACTACCGCGGCGTGTACCCGGGCCTGTACGGCCCCGGGCTGGGCGCGCCCGGCGCCGAGCGGCCGCCCTACCTGGGCTCGCCGTTCTCGCTGCCGACCGGCGCGCCGCCGACGCCGAGCGCGCCCGGCGGCCCGCCGCCCACACCCTCGGCCGCCTCGCTCTACGACCTGTACAGCAAGCTGCCGTCGCGGCTGGTGTCGGCGGCGTCTGCGGGCGTGTACGGCGGCTCGCTGCTGCCGGCCGGTCTGGCGGCCGCTCTCCCGGCGCCGCACCGCTCGCCGCTCGGCTCGCCGGCCGGAGAGTCCGAGCCGGCCGCCGGAGCCGACCCGGCCGCCGGCGAGCGCCGCGACTGAGCCGGCGGCCCCCAGCTAGTGCAATACGCCCGCCGCCGCCGCCCCAGCCCCGACCGCCGCCCCGGCCCCGGCGTGTATCGATCGCCGAGACCTACCGACCACTCCACGGCAGTGGCCCGCCACCCAGGTCCAAAGCTAGGTAGGTTTTAGTCAAACGACAAACCTGACTTGTCAGAAATTTAGAGGGGGCCATTTATCTGGAAGACAAGGCGATACTGGTTGTAGCAGATTTTGGTGTATGTGGATGTGTCGCTGTAAAGTGTTATTCAATGGTAAATTTCCCACTCAAATTAAAACAGTCTACGTTTTCAATTTCGAATGTTAAAGACAGACTGTATGTTTTTGAGCTAGCATGTTCCTCAATCTTGGAGAAATCCAAAAAGCAAGTTTCTTTTTCAGTTGCTGGATTTTTATTAGCTCCGACAGATGGTTTTTTGACTGGCTCTGAATGCGCCGGTTGGCTGAAATACTCATACTAGTTTCGCCCCTCCCCACATCACCATTATGCGAGCCCTCTTTCAAATCCCGCTTCTCCGAAAGACGTCTTGGCGGTTACTTCCAAATCCTAATCCGCTCTTCATGAAGGTCTTGTCTCGCTCGGGGTAGACTCAGAAATAAGCTAGGTGGATCTAGTCCTCTGATATACCCTGGTGCGGACAGCCTAACCCGACCCGACCCGACCCGTCCCGAACCCTGAGATATTGTTCCTGTCGCGGCGGCGGTGCACCTTCTTTCACAAACCACTCTGTTGTTTTATTTATGGCGGGTAGGTGTTAGCCCGTCGCTGGTGTCTCGGTATTCGTTTCGTTTCGTTACGTACTTGCAGTCGGCCGCGTTGCGCCGCTACGTTGTGTCGGGTTCGCGCGCGGCCCGTCGATTGGAATACGGTATTACTGGTGTGTCAAGTCGACTCGTTGATGCTGCGTGACTTAGTCAGCCGCACCTGCGGCATAGACGCTTAGCGACAGATGCCTATCGTTCGTGTGTAAAGCCCTATGTGCTGTGTTGCTTGTATGTACAATAAAGAGTCTATTGTATGTCACACATATCTGTTTGGGATAATGGAGGCATTGATAAACGAAGGTGAAAGTTGACGCCGGGCTTGTCAAAAATTATTGGTGTGCTGGGAATATCATTTCCAACTTCACTCGGCATTCTTTCGCTCTAAAAGCGAAGAGGAGAACGGTATCGAACTATTAAAATACAGTAGAATTTAGCCTCAAGTTCAAGGCACACATGGCGGTACCTTGCAGAACTCCCGAGACCTGAAAACGTCAAACTTTTGATAGCTAGAAAAGAGGACAAACCATGAACGCTGACTAGTGAGCGCGTGCACCACAGCATCACTCTTCCTCAGGCGTTAATTCTGAACAGTTTAGTGTAACGCTGAAGCTAGTACTTTAGAGAGGCTAGGGCCGGTGTCGTAGCTCGGTGGGTGTCGCGGATGTTAAGTATTCCAGCCAGTCGGGATGAGGGATTCACCAGTCGGTGGTGCCGGTAATGATGTAGGGCTTGAGCCGGCCGATGCCGGGTGGTGCAGCTGGGTTGTGCCATGGGTAGCACCTATCCCTGGTGATGCTGAGGTTCTTTTTCGGGGTAGATATGGTGCAGACTGCAGTGGTCTCGCCCCGGATTGGTGTCCACGTGGTTCCGGGCCGTTGCTGAGATTGTCTCGATATGGTGCCGGGGTCGTACAGACTGCGATGGTTGCCCCGGAGTGGTGGCGCGGTGGTGTCCGGGTGGTTGCCCCGGAGTGGTGTCCGGACGGTGGCTCCGGAGTGGAATCCGGGTGGTTCCGGGCCAGTGCCGCGGTGGTGCCCGGATGGTTCCGGGCCGGTGCCCGACCCGGCGGCCGCGCCGCAGTGGTCGCCGCTCCGGACCAAAACAGACACGGCGAGCCCGTGTAAATATTTACCGACCGCCGCCGGGACGATAGCGGGCCAACACGCTTTTTACCCGGCTGTAAGATAATATCGTAAATGTCGACTGGTATGTAAACAGGAAGAGCGTCGGTCGCTGCAGCTAGATAGAGGACGGTAACTGAACCGGATACTGGGCGACATCGCATGGCCTCCGACCGCACTGGGACCACGGACCATGAGACCATACGGACCACACAGAGCAGCGGAGACCACGGGACCGAGCTGGGACACATCGCCAGGACCGACAGAACGCAGGACCCCCAGCACGGGACCACTTCAGGCTGGGACTGTATAGGCGCCTTGTGTGAGCGGTGGCGGTCGCCCTCCCCACTAACAATGGTCTGTTGGCGCTCACTCTCGCCCAGTATGACACAGTGTTTATTCTCCACTTTTTATTGGTGTGATGAAGTCGGCCAGAGGCGGCACCCGAGCTCCCAGGAGTCGGCCTCACACCCGCCGCTCGAGAGCAGACCAGACTGAGTCTGTCTGTTGTTTTGACATGTCTTATTCGGGTGACACGCACCGTTCAAATGATTCTCCGAAGACTAACGTCTCTTGCATTGTTAGCATTCTAACTAGAAAACCTTCGATTAGCTCTGTGATTTAATTAGGGAGCATTCCAATTTACAGGCAGGTATTGGTGTTAACTATATTTATGAGTCCTTGCCCCTAAATTCCGCAGACTTTTTGTGAAATATGTGGTGAAGTTTGCCAGGCTCACCCTTCTTCCTCGGCATCAGCCCTTACATATTTACACAAATACAACTTTCAAACTATCGTTAGAAGCATGTAGGAACGGAACGCGTTTGATTTGTAGCACAAGCGTCGGTGTAAATAAGTGCACACAAAATGGGAGGAGGCAGGCAAGACAGGCAACAACCCGGAAATACATGGACATTCAAAATAATGACATATAGAGATAATCAAGGTGATGAAAACGTCTCCACAGCAAAAACAAATGATCGATGAAAGGGTAGAATATCGCCCCAAACCTCACAGACTAACACATTAAACAAATAAATGCTTCCCCAAATGACCCTCTCCATGGCTTTATCCCATACCTCCTCTCTTTCCTCCCTCCTCACTCGGCGTGTGTTCCCGTGGGAGGGCGGGGGGCCGGGTCACGGCGGGCAGCTGGCAGGCGGGCGCTGTTCCGACACCTCCAGACCAGGAGGGACGCAGTGCCGCCCTGCCAGCACTCTGGCACGCGGTCACCGCGCGCCCCAAACCGTTACGTTGTTTGTATGGCAGGCCCCTACAGCCCCCCCCCCCCCCGGCAGGCAGTCCGCGGCAGAGCACTGCTGTCCAGACCCGCAGGGGGGAGGGGCAGAGGGGTCTGGAGTGAGGACAGTGTTCGAAATGTGTTGGGTGTGAAACGTCCAAATACTGGGCGTTGAAGAGCAGCAGGGATATGAAATATGCATTACCACAGATAACAGTAGTACTACTGTTATCTGTGGCATTACCAACGGAACATAGATCGGATGCTCGAAAAAGTCATTTTTAGACATTTTGGAAGTGGTTGGTGGTTACAGTCTTGTATACTGACTTTTAATAGGTGCATGATTTATTTCCCATAGAGTCATCTCTAAAAAATGTAACATTTAAGATTCATTATCTTGAGCACAATTTAAAGAAATGCATATAATGCAAAATATTTCAGGTTTACATATTCAAGACGCCCCTGCGACAGTCAGATTTTAACAAGGAAAATGAAGACCACTTAATTTTAAATTAATCGTCATTTTGTTGATGGAACGACTGCTTATAAATAACGACTTAGTAACGGCTGACAACGGCTTATAAACGCCTGCTTATAATTGTATCATTATGTAAAACGATTTTGCTTTCAAATTCACAGCTCATTTCGCAACTTATAGCCTTTCTTAACGGCAAGAATAATGTTTCAATCTATCATTCAATCGTTGCCGTTTCGGTTTAGACTGGGACCACCCGGCACCCGCTATATAGACTGATGGCTCACGGTGAAATGTACACGACTTTATCAAACACTAGCAGGGTGAAATGTCTTTGTTGGAAATCATGTGGCTGTAAATCACCACATAAATGTTTATCACTAATAAGGATGTTGTGCTTTGTGGCACCAAGTTTGTGCCAGCCCATGCTCTTCGATGTTTCACTTACCAGAATTTTTACACCGCTGAATCCAAGCTTAGCAAACGAACAATGCACTGCCAACTATAAATAATAAGTTTCCTGTCCCACCGTTTATTGTTGACGTAGGCGTATGAACGTGTGCTCTGTCAGACCGTTTGAACACTGTCTTGTGTGTGTTTGGGAGCCAATATCACTTACGTTTAATCAATTATGCATTACTCTTAGCCATATAGCCTCATTGCTGGTGCGTCCTAAAACACCAAATCACACCAACCACATATATCTTGTTCGTTATGTCTAACATTGAATTAGAAAACAAGCACTATCACTTTTTAACTATTATAAATGGTCGAAAGGGAAAAAGCTTTCATAAGTCATCAGAAAAGAAAATCGCCACGCTATCTTTCCGCGATCGCTACCGTAACAGAACGGGCCACAGTGATGTCTAGTGTCCCACGGCACCGGGCACCACGCCTGAATGGGACAACGGTCGCCCGAGTATTTCATCAGCAGCTCCGACTCCCCGGGACGGACCAGACACCACCATATCGCGCACCAGCAGGCCGCGGGCCAGCAGTCGGTATACCGGGGACAGCGGACGCTGCACGGCTAATGTGGCCGCCGGTTGCGTCAGGAATGGGGCGTGCTCTAATGCGGACTAATGTGGTCTGGTGTGGTTTGATGGGGTAGTTAATGTACATAATAGCACGGTTGTGGTTATCGTGTTTGTGTTGGTAAAATTATGGCTCAAAAGGAGGTTTGGATGAAAATGAGAATGAGGATGAATGTGAGGACGATAGGGTTTTAAAAATGTATTCACTGTCTGTGTCATTGATCTATATTCAATTAGGAATGCTAGCCTGCTCATTTTACATTCCAGCGAAATGCAACCAGAAACAGTATACTACGAGTAAAGGGAAAGCAATAACGGAATATCATGTATCAAACCAAAAGTTACTCCAAAATCATAGAGTAGGCTGAAGAGAATCGTCCGCAGACAAACGTTACCATTGCTGTGTGTCTTGTTACGTTTGGGTGTTGTGTGAGCCAATGGCGATAGACAACAGACAATCATAAGTCGTCCGTTGGGGCCAAATACACAAGGAATTATCAACATCAGAGCAAGGGCCAAACAGTACGGCGCCATTGCCGCTACACCGCGTACCATATTGGGATCAGATAAGTCAACATATTTGCGGTCACGCTATACCATAATCCAATATTTTCGAGGGCGCGGAGCCACAAAAACTTTGGCTTCCTCAGGCCGCTTGTGGCTATTGAGCGCTGAAGCATGACCACATGACAGGCACCGTGGTGGCTGCTACGATGGCCACGCACCATTGGTTTACGTCACCATTAGCTTACGGATATTTGCAAAATTAATGCTAGGTTTAGTGTTCAAATGAAAAATGCTTAGCAAATAGGAAATTGAAACAAACAGGAGAAAGTGGTTTATTCCCGAAGCCCAAAGCTAATCTGGCGGAATCCAATAGCCCTATAAGAAGCGGAATCGATTTATGTTATGCATGATTGATCAAATCAGCGACAGAGGACGTCGTACAACATTGGACTCTAATGCGAATGCGTCTAAGTCAACAACAAAAAAATACCCTTTATTCTCTGGGAACGATAGCCTGGAATGACGAAATGTAAGCCCACCACCCCCTCTTCCACTAGCGCGCCAGCGTTGCGTTCGACCCGGGAAACCCGTGCTTGGAGGGGAGCTAGCTATTCGTGCCAATGCCCCTCCAGTGGCACCCCGAGCAGCGCCCAAAGCCCACAAACTGGGGAGGGGCCATCGCAAAGGGGCGTCTGACCGGCCAGTAGCAGCGTGACGTCTGAATTAAAAAACGAATTAAATAATAAATCAAAATGTCATTAAATATTCATCATAGTCCAGCTATGATGAAGATATTCGTTATAATCTAACTGATAAACGCAAACCGAAACAAAATTTAAATTATGCTAATCAGAAGAGTAGCTGCATAATAACAGTCATCGG